CCAAAATTATTTCAACGGAAGGTTTCCAGATGGATATGCGGAACAAATCCATCTGGCGCAGTCAGTTTAGCAGCTGGCTTATTTGAGGGAGAATTTCATGTAAAGTTTAAAAACCTGCATTCCTGTCTTGCATTTTGACACTGTGACCCACCACTACTGAGCACACAGCAAAGAAACTCTAGATGGCTTCATCAAATCCTAAATTCTTCTTCGCCTGACAAGGAAATGTTTGCTTGTCATCTCTAACATATAAAACCCAAACTATGTCAAGTGACTGCAGACTGGTACAGGTGTGGTTGATCGCCCGGAGGCAGAGGACTGAGGATCAAAACACTTCCTGCGTGACTCACTTCTCATTGTCGTAGTACAGTTTCCCAAAAGCCCATGCCACGATGATGGGAAACGGAATACCTGGAAGCAGAGAGATGGGTGGACAGGTGAGCCATGGACGCACACAGGTGGACAGACAAATAAATGGTCAGACAGATGGACAAATAGCTTTATAATCTAACAGGTGAAGACATGGACAGTCAGAGTGAAGAGTAGACAGTCTGGTGGAAAGGGAAGTGAGACAGGCAAGGGGAGACAGACAGACGGATAGACAGACCAACCGATAACCGACCCCAGCCAATGCAGATGAACATCCACTTCCTGAGTTTATCGGTGGAGTAGGTAAGGACCACGGCGGTGTGCAGGTAGCATCCTTCACCAAACATCCAGAAGAAGTTTGTCACATGAAAGTAGTTATAGGCTGCAGTCACCAACCTGCACCACACCTGAGGAGGAGGAGGATGAAGAGATGTCAGCTTATTGGGATTATTTTAAATTCTCTTTTAGTCTAATTCAACATGATGTTCTACATAAATGGACATTTTGCTCCATTTGAAGCCGAGACATGTGAACCACACAATGAGCATGCTCCTGGGATGCCTAAGAAACCCCACACAGACTCTACCCTTCAATTTACGAGCCTTTTTTCTGCCTAATTGACTCTTGGGAAAGACTTTATAATATGTTTCCCGGACTATAAGCTCAATTTAGTAGATATCAGTGGCTTATAGCCCAATGCGCTTTTCACAAAAAATTTAATGGCCGCGGCTTATAGTGAGGTGCGCTCTATAGTCCGAAAATTGTCCAAAAAGAACCAGATCAGGGTTTCTAAACGTTGCTGGAGGTAAATTACCATTGACCTGGACTACTTTAAGGTACATGCTGGTGAGAAACAAAAAAAAGAAACGGAACCAATGAATCACTTATGCTACATTTAGACCACACGCGATAGAGACCGCACAAGCAGCTGGTTTACATGCAAGTCTTTGGTTGACGCACATCAAAAGATCCTGCAGTGCATTTTGAGCAGCCGGAACTGTGCATTTTGACGCTTTAAAGCAACGCCTATAAGCTTCTGACCATTTAAGGCATGGGATGCGCTCCTCAAGCAGTAGCTGCTGGAGTTAGAAAAATTTAACGATGCACGAGAGCAACCAATCAAAGAAGCTGATCTGAGGCTGACAGGGTGAAAGACACAGCTCTGCTGATGCGCAGCGATATGATCACTCCAATAAAACAGTGTATTAACGCCTAAATCAACTTAAAATGTCGAAACCTAAAAAAAAAAAATGTTTGATTTTATTATTCTGGTGCCTCAGTTTGGATTACATACATGAAAAACGCCTTCCAGCCACCACGAACATTAACAGAAAACCCAGAAGAGGCGACCAGGCCAGAGGCTGCCATCGGTTGGAGGCTGCCAAACATATTAAAACTATTTTTTACACACTTATAACAGTAAATATAGCAAAGCCGCTCTCTTCACCATTGAACACAAGCGCAGCAGGAGTATAGGATACATCTGAACACACTTTACTGGACGCGGTTCAGGAGTGTCAAAGATGCTCTTGAGGCGCGTCGGACCTTAATGTGGACAGGCATCAAAAATGAAACAGCAGAAGCTTTTTTGCTGCTTCCAGCGCTTACGTTCTGAACATAGCATTAGGCAGACAATAATTGCAAAAGGAACATGTTGCAAAGGGGCTCAGATTGCAGGGTTATGCTGTGTGGGGAGGAGGATCAGATCACCTTGTTGCTCTCTGTAACCGAGGGATTCATAGTTAGCTGTACGATAAACCAGGTGGCGTTCCTCAGGATGAAGGCTGAGATCAGATTCCAGTGGATGATGTTCCTCAGACAGCGGATGCTCCTGGAACAAACGCATACATTCATTCATTAAGGTTTCTGGACAGTTCTCTGAAGGATCACCGCGGATTTAAAGCTTGAGGTTTGGATTGGGCTGCTCTAACACTTTATTAATTAATTAATTTGTCTCCAAGCTGTTTTGTTGTTTATTTTTTGGGGATCATTGTTCTGTTGACCCAGTTTTTTGATGGAGAGAAAACAGATTCAATATATTTTTGTGTATTTGTAAGCTGTGTAAACATGTTGAAGTTCTGGATGATTTGTATGTTTAAAATGATGACTGTTAAATAACTTTCTGTGAGAACATTTAGGTATTTTTCAAATGTGTGATCTAATGCACACCATGATATATTAGATTATGAGATTTCAGTTAAAAATGAAATTGAAACCAAATCAAATTTACTCCAACTTCCACAAATAATTCAATATGCAGGACTTCACTGATACACAAGGACAAAACTGCAGTTACAAACAGATAATTTTGTAAGTGAAAACTATTTTGTAGGCTAATTTCATGCTTCCAGGAGCCTCATAGATGTGTGCGCACATGGGGGGTTAAATCGCTGTGGAAAGCTGTCATTTGAATTTTCTTCAGAGTTTAGTGTTAATTGCCCTCCAATTAACACTAAACTCAGAAACTTGTGCCATCAGAAAATTAATTTGAAATGCCAAGAGTGAACCTGTATTTGAGAACATTTTGAATTGTTTTGAAAGAGTTTTACTCAAAATAAAAATCACAGAATTTGAAGCCCAACCACTCATACTCATTGTTTCTTGCTTCATCCTGGACCAGAGGAAGCAGTCTCAGTAGAGACTCCCAGGATTCCCTCTCCACAGCCACCTTCTCCAGCTCTGCAAGGGGAAGCCCGAGGCTCTTTTAGGAAAGCCGAGAGACATAGTCCTTCCAGTTTGTCCTGGGTTGTCCCCCAGTGGGATATGCCTGGAACACCACCAGAGGGAGGCACAAGGGGGCATCCGAAAATGTGGAGGAGAACGTGCTCTACTTCGACCCCCTCCCAAGTGACTGAGCTCCTCACTTCCAAGGGAAAGCCACTTGTATACAGGATCTCATTCTTTTGGTCATGATCCAGATTCCATGATCACAGGTGAGGGTTGGAATCTAGACTGATCGATAAATTGAGAGCTTTGCCTTTTTTGCTCAGCCCTCTCTTCACCACTACAGACCGGTGCAGCTTCTGCATTATAGCAGGCACCGCACCGTTCTTTATATAGATCTCACACTCCATTCTCCCCTTACTCTTGAACTGGACCCCAAGATACTTCAACTCCTCCACTCGAAGCAGAGACTCTCCTCTAGGGTGTTGGACTTGGAAGACACAAATCTGAATCCCGCACTTTCACACTTGGCTGAGAACCGTCCCAGTGCATGCTGTAAGTCTTGGTAGGAGGGAGCCAGCAGAACTATGTCATCTGCAAAAAGAAGGGACAAGATCTATCTGTCCCCAAAGCTAGAGCCCTCTGGTTCTTGGCTACACATAAAAATCCTGTCCATGAAGGTTTTGAACAGGACAGGTGACATAGAGCTGCCTTAGTGAGTCCAACATTCATTAGGAACAGCTCCGACAATGCCGGCAATAAAGACCAGGCTCCTGCTCCGCTTGTACTGAGACCAGATGGCCCCTAGTAAAGGGCACCCAACCCAGTCCTGCTGAAACGTCCTCCACAAGGCACCATGAGGGAGCCAGTTGAATGCCTCCTTCAGTCCACATAGCACATGTTGACTGATTGGTCAAACTCCGATGAACCCTCGAGCAACGTGCAGAGGGTGTAGAGCTGATCCACTGTTCCACAGCCAGGATGATAACCACAATGCTTCTCCTGAAGCCGAGGTTCAACCATTGCTGGACTCTCCCCTCCAACACCCTGGCATAGACCTTACTGGAGAAGCTGATGCGTGTGGTTCCCTTGTAGTTAGAAAAAAACACCCTCCAGTTTCCTTTGTTATGTAGGAGAACCACCACTGCAGTCTGCCAATCCAGGGGCACTGTCCTGGACCTCCATGCAATGTCGAAGAGGTATTTCACCCAAGACAGCCTGACAACATCCAGAGCTCTAAGGTACTTGGGGTGGATCACCTCCACCCACAAAGCCTTGCCACTGTGGAGTTTTTTGACCACCTCAGTGACTTCAGCCTGAGTGATAAATGAAGTCAGCCCAGAGCACCCCATCTCTTCTTCACCAAAGAAGGCGTGTCAGCCGGATTGAGGAGATACTCAAAGTATTCCTTCCACCGTCCAACAATGTCAGGCTCAACAGCTCCTCAGTCCAACTGAAAAGAGTGTTAGTAAAGCACTGCTTACCCCTCCAGAGGCACAGGACCATTTGTCAGAACCGCTGTCTCCATGGCCTCTCCAAACTCCTCCCAGATTGGGCAGCAGTCAGAGGGCGTTTAGATTCCCTTTGCTGAGGTGAATCTAAACATGGATTTAACATAATGACACCATGTGCAAGCAAGAGGATATCCATCGGTGCACCTGGCACCAGGACACTCTAGGGCTGAGGTCAATGATCGACTTTGTAGTCATATCTTCTGACTTTGGGCCACATATCTTGGACACTCAGGTGAAGAGAGGGTTGGCACTGTCCACTGACCACCACCTGCTGGTGAGTTGGATGCACTGGAAAACGAGGAGACCAGACAGACTCGGGAGACCCAAGAGAATGGTGAGTGTCTGCTGGGAACATCTGGTTGCTCCCTTTGTAAGGGATAGTTCAACTCCCACCTCCTCTAGGAGAGCTTCTAGCAGATTCCAGGCAAGGCAGGATACTTAGTTTCTGAGTGGGCCATGTTCTCTGCCTCTAATGTCACCATCCCTAGCTGTTGCCATAAGGTCTATTATGCCTGTTGTGGTGGAAATCCCCAAAATTCGGTGGTGGACAACGACAGTAGGGAATGCTGGTCAACCTAAAGAAGTCCTATCAAGCCCGGTTGGCTTCCAATTCAACAAGCCAGTATCTTGAGGCAAAGCTTGCTTCATGACATCAAGCATGCTGCTGCCAAGGTGTCTGGAGAGGAAAAAACTGGAAATCCAACTAATTTCTTTCGGAACTGTATTTTATTGCATTGAAAATTCGATTGACGAATGTCCCGTTCATTTTTCATTGTTTATGTGGCTCACATCCGGGTCCTTGAGAAAGACTAGACTCATCAACAGATTTTTATCATGCCAAAAAAATCTTACGTTTAGAACTGAAATGGAATCCTACAACTGAAAGTGACATAAGTCAAACTGAATTTTCAATGCAACAAAATAGTTTCGATGTATATCAATTAGGTTTCATCCTCCACTACCAGGAGGTAAATATTCAGTTTACTCCATAACTGTTCTAATGTTTAACATTGCACGGGGTGTGTTTGTGTCTGCGGGGATCTGCTTATAATTTTTTTTTTCAATTTCTTTGAGCAGCAATACAAGCAAGATTTACATTGAGATTAAAATGATTGTAATCAATCCAGATGGGAGATCCTCGTTATATCACACAGGAGGTAAAAGCTAAAGATAATGGGAGATAAAAGAAGGAAAAGAGATGAGGCAGTGTAACAGCAGTTAGCAGGACACCTGAACCTCGCACATCCGCAGCTACTTACTGGGTCAGAGTAACATGAATCATCCTTTTTATCTGAATTGTGTTTAATCAACTTCCTGTGGGGTTATTTTTCCTAAAAATTAAATCTATGGCTTTTAATCTTCTTATGTTTTGACATTTGATGAATAGGAACAGAAAAATGTATCTTACGGCACCAAACAACCTTAACCATACTATGAGTGATACATTAATTAGACGATGTCTGTTTGTGATAATGAGCATTTTATTTCTGGAGGTATAATATATATATGAAACAATATCCTAACGACTTTAATTAGCACACATCTTTTTCTTGTGCACTTATTGTTTGAAAGCATCCATTAAGGCAAGTCTATTTATAGAGCACATTTCCGTGGCAAGGCACTTCTAAGTGCTGTACATAAAAAAGAAAAGGACATTGGAATGGCATAAAGCTAATTACAATTGGCATTTTTGTGCAGAGAAAAGACACATTCATCATGATAATCAGGTGCAAAAAAACAAAAGACTGAAGGCAGATGTGTTATCAGAAGGGAATACTGAAAACAAAGCTAGAGGAAAAACAATATGTGAAATCCCCAATAGGTATTTTTGTTAATGGGGGTAATAAAATCATAATCATAATATGTGCGAACCCAAATAAATGTACAGAAGAAACATTTTACACCCAGGAAGATTATTCCAACTTGAACAGGGATGCGGTGATCCATTTCTACTGCTGCTTTTATGCTGTTTATATGTATGAACAACACATTTCTATTCCAAAAAGCAGCTTGAGATTTCTATAAGGTCAGAGAAGGAAGTCATAAAAACAGTTAATCATGTTAACGCGATAAATTATGTCCTGAAAAGAAAATGCAAATGCGACGATTCAAATAGACTGGATTTATTTAATCAAAGACAGATGAAGGGGGAAACGTTTCTGCTGTTTAAAGGAAAAGTCCGGTCATATTCAGAATACAAACTTCTGAAAATACTTTAAATATAAAATGTGTTTTAATTAAGAGTAATTCTCATTTGAATGTGCTTTAGTGGAGGCATCCATGTTTG